CTTGGATGGATGAGGCAATTTAGAAAAACAGCTAACAGCACAGCAAGGCAGAAGCAGCTGCCCTCTGCTTTCTTCTAGAAAGTACCACCATTGCACAGAGGTTAGTGAATGTTAAAGTGCTGCACAGGGAGAGGGAAAATGACAAAGCTATGCTAACAGCCAGGACCCAGCTCTGAAGGAGCTAAGATCAAACTTTCCTGCCATGAACTTGGACTTCATCTTTGCTTCTACGCTTGGCAGCTTTCTGGAGCTTAATCGGCGTGATCACAGTCACAGGGTCTGGGCTGGGGCTCAGAGACACGGTGTTCTCTTCCTAGCACCTTGCTCTCAGCTCCTGGTGGTACTGGAGCTGGAGTCCACGGGAGCTGCTGGGAGGAGGGGGTTCAGCGAGCTGCCAGCTCCAGGCTGACATGCAGAGGCCAACACCTGGCCCGGCAGCAGCACGCCCAAGGCTGTGTGTGGCTGTGCTACCTCAACAGGCGTTAAGGGGTGTCTCCCAGGAGACTAGAGAGAGAAGCCTAAAACAGAAAGTCAACTTCTGACCAATGGGGAGTTGAGGAGCCATCATCCCTAACAATAACAGTTCTGTTGAGTAGGGCCCCGGACCCACAGCAACCCCACGCACAACAACGCAGTGCTGTCCAGTCCTGCGTCATCCTACATTGGCTGCGATTGGACTGTTGTGTTCCACGGGGCTTTCATTGGCTTCTTTTCAGAATTAGGCGGCCAGGCTTTTCTTCCCAGTCAGTCTTACTCTGGAAGCTCTACTGATACCTGTTCATCGTCACAGAAACATGCAGCCTCCACTGACAGGGCTGGTGGCTGTGGACAAGGTGCACAGGCCGGGAGTTGAACCCGGGTCTCCCACATTGTGGTTATCATGGAAAGTGAGAATTCTACCAGTGAACCACCATTGCTCCTTAGTGACGATGACAGCTGACCATTAAGCCCGGTCTTAGAAAGGACAGCCTCTGATGAGCAGAAGCATGTCTTTGGGAATGCCCCACTATGATGTCATCGGTAAGTCCATACTTCCTGTAAGATACATGCAAGCACCATGCCAAGGGCTTTGTCCCTGCTCCTACAACTGATGGATTAGTGCTTTGGAATTTTTTTTTTCCCAGTCCTCTGTTTAGTTTTACCATGTGATAGGAGTTAGCAAACTTTTCCTGTAAAGGGCCAGACAGTAAATATTTTGGGCTTTGCAGGCCACATGTATGGTCTCTTGGAACCATTCCACTCTGTGGAGTGTGCAAGGGTGGCCACTGAGGAACGGCAGCTGAAAGCACATGGCTGAGTTCCAGTAAACCTGGACCGTGGGCACTGAAATTCACATTTCATCTAATTCTCAGGCGTCAGGAAATACTCTTCTTCTTGGGATTTTTTCAAGCTTTCTTAGCTCATACAAAACAGGCAACAGGCCACAGTTTTGCCAATCCCTGTCATACGCCATTAAATGAAAACACTTTGACAAAATCCTATCTGCTAACTTTCTGATGCAATGTTTGGTGGCTGGACCAATGATCTTCCAAAGCCTTCCTGTTGAGGCTATTGAGTCAACACAGCTCACTGAAGGCTTTCCTAGTTTTCTTTTGACCCTCGACTTTACCAACCATGACGTCCCTTTCTAGAAGCTGGTTCTCCCTGACGCCGTGTCCAAAGGAAGTGAGCTCAAGTCTCACCACTCTTGCTTTTGAGGAACATTCTGGTTGTCTCTCTTCAAACTAAGACTGATAGCTATTAATTAGTAAGCCGTATCTTAAAAAGGGCAGCTTCTTGGTTTTGTTATCTTTGTACCTCTCAGTCTTAGTACAGTGTCTGGCATGTAGGTAACCTTGAGTATAAATGTTTGCTCAATTAAACTGAATTAATGCCAAGTCTCTAATTAGGGAACAACTCAGAGAGGGGACACCCCAACTCTACCAGTGACAGAAGAGTCATAGGTTGTCCCTGTCACCTCTGCTTGGCAGAGAAGAATCTGGGGCTGAGCAGTCCCTGTGCTAAGCCTTTCTCTACATGAACAAGTTCACTCAGAGGCCGAGAGCTCGGGTCCGTGTGCGGCCTGGAGAGCACGTTGTGAGCTGTGCCCCAGGAGCACAGCCCCAGGTCCTCACCACTGTCTGGAAGCAGGAGTGGAGCTGTGTCAGGAACGGAGGCTTGTCGAGCAGGGCCAGCACGCGCTTCTCCACCATGGTGCACTCCACGTCGTCATCCTGGATCACCACGTCCTTCTTGAGGATCTTGATGGCATACAGCTCTTCTGTGCCCTTCCTGTCAGCAAGCATCACCTGAGGACAGACCAAGAGCAACCTGAACCCAGGACATACATCTGCTCCTGTGGGTGGAGGCAGGATGGAACGGGGAGGAATGGGGTCAGGTGACATTGCAGTGACAGTTCAGACAAACGCAGTGCAAACTGATAAACCTTTGGTATAAAAGTACTCATGTTTCATTTCAGGCGGCAATTCTGAAATGCTGCACATCATTGACAACTCAATTTCTCTAACCCACTGCCATCAATTCAATTATGACTCAGAGTGACCCTATAGGACCGAGTTGGAAACCACATGGTTTCCAAGGCTGCAAATCTTTATGGAAGCAGACTGCCTCATCTTTCTCCTGTGGAGTGACTGGTAGGTTCACACCACCAACCTTCTGGTTAACAGCTGAATGTCTTAACCACTGCGCCACCAGAGCCAAATCAAACCAAAAACCAAACTCACTGCCGTCATGTTGAATCTGACTCAGAGCAACCCCTCCTTGGGTTTCTGAGGCAGAAGTAGGATTGCCCAACCTTCCTTCCGAGGAGTGGCTGGTGGGTTTGAACCGCCAGCCTTCTGGTTAGCAGTCAAGTGCCTTAGGCACTATGCCACCAGAGCTCCTGAAGCACTGTATAATTTCTAAGTTGTCGAGATTCGCACACCTATTCAGGCTACTGCCACACGGTGGTGCTATGTTGGCTGGTCACTGGAATCCTCCATATTGTGTTCCTGAAGTAATCTTACACTGAAGCAAATGGTTGTGGAGCATCCTTTGAGTGAAATGTAACAGACTGACCACCATTGTAAGCTTCTGACTCATCAGGAACCAAACAAAGCAAAGGAGAATCGGAATCCGTTCCTGGATTTCCTGGGAGAGCTGGGGCCAGGACACCAGATGTAGACACAGAAGCTGATTGCTGGGGACTCCAGCTCAGTATCTCTCAGTGATTCCATCTGCTGCCTACAAGTTAACATCTAATCTTTCACTGTGAAAATTACTCATTCAAGCCACATTCTGGACGACCAACTCTGCTGTGGACGAGAAGCTGGTGAAACAGGGAGCTCACTGCAGCATCCTGGATCCTCCTGTGCTTAATGAGACGAAGTAGGAAACGTCTGAGAAACACTACAAACAGCAGGGTGAGTGGCTGCTGTGGAAACCTCAGAGAGGACAAATGGACCCCACATTCTCCACCACAGCTCCTGCTGCCCATCCCCCCCGACAAACGGTGACCAGGTCTTACCTTTCCAAAACTCCCCTTCCCCAGAACCATGAGGAAATTGAAGTCTGTGAGTTTCACCCGGTCGAGGTTGTTGGAAGGTTTCCTGTCTTCTGAAGGACTGATGACTTTGTTCCCAGCAGGGCCAAGCTTGGCTTTCTAAACAACAAGAACATACAGGAAAACCAATCAGGTTGCTTTTCTCAGGGGGCAAAGAGTGACAGAGAGAGATGCGTTGTAAGTAACTAAGCCTGCGGCCGCCTTGAAGGGAGGCAGTGGGATAGGGTGAGAAAAGGACTCTGGGGGTGAAGAACTGCTATCTGTCCATACAGAGTGGCCATACTTACCCTACGGGGGAAGCTCACCAAGTGGCAAAACACTGCCCTTACCTAGTGGAGAAGGAAACACCTCTTCTGGTAGCGTAGTGCCTAAGGCACTTGACTGCTAACCAGTAGGCTGGCGGTTCAAACCCACCAGCCACTCCTCGGAAGAAAGGTTGGGCAATCCTACTTCCGTAGTGATACTGCCTTGGAAACCCAAGGAGGGGTCGCTATGAGTCGGGGGCGACTCGACGGCAAATAACAACAACAACAACATAGTTAACTAAGGATCAAATCTCAGGAACCTATTGGGGCAACCTGCTTCTGAATCTGGATGGAGAAGTTAGTTCCTGGGGGCACCTGTGCTTCAGGACTGTTAACAGCATCAAGGACATAAATGACGCACTGATGTTGTTCTTATTTGTAGATTTCCCAATTTAACATTAATCCGGATAAGGGAAATTTGTAGCTACGCAAAAAGAGAAATTGCCCTCTGGGGAGAAACCGTGGATGACACGCTGTGGAGAGAATTTATGGCCACTTTCAGATTCACAGTAAAAAGAACAGTGTGCGTTGTACATGTGTTTGTGTGAGTGTGTGCATGTGTTTGTGTATGTGTGAGTGCATGTGTGCACACGTGTGGCTCAAGAGTTGAGCCCTGGAAAGAAATGGTGAGATTCTCACACGGTGCTGTGCGAATCTGGTCTCACGTGAGACACACAGTGGTTCCTGACCCTGAAGAAGACCTGTTTGATGACATGTGAGCTACCAAAAGGAGTTTTCATAAACCAAACCGATGGATGATACACAAAAGATGCTGGAGAAAGCCAGGCCCTCGCTTACTCTCACCAACAGAAAAAGAGGGCTCAGCAAAGGAAAGAGAAAGGGCATCACCTGGGAGTGTCCCCACTGTCAGGCAAGGGGCCCTGAAGAGACTGGGAAAGCGCAGAGTGGAGGGAGGCACGCCACCACCGACTCTGCATTTTGAACATGGGCCTGACAATGAGAGATGGATGCCAGCTACAAAAGGGCCAGGGTCCTGGGGCCACCTGAACTGCCACAGTCCAGCGCTGAGCTCAAGGGCAGTGCCTCTTGCTTTGGCTACATTCTGAGTGAAAGGGTGCACCTCCACCCCTCCCCCAGTGCAGCAGACCCGACTAAGGATGATACCCACCCCCAATGCAGCAGACCCGACTAAGAGGTGACGCTGAGCTCCGGAGCAGTTGCCGGGATATCCCTCAAACCAACACCTACAGGAGGACCAGTAAGTCGGCCTGGGGGAAGGACGGCCCTCCGTGCTTAACTGATCGGCGCTGGCAAGGCCGCGGGTCTGTGCTCTGGGGGGGAGGCTGACAACCTGCACTGTGTTCTTCAGCAGCAAAGAGCTCCACAGGCATCGTCCCTGCTCCCTCTTGCAGCAACGGCCTTCCTTCCACAATCACTGTGTGAACCCCATTTCCCAGGCTCTCCTGGAAGGGCGCTGCACTGGCAGACGAGTCCTGTCAGCCACCTCTGGGTCCCCGGCCCTAGCACCGCTTGGCACAGGGTCAGCATGGCACCTTTCGTTGAATGAATGAACAGATGAAAGGCTGACTGTGCTCCCCAGCCACTAAGCTGTTGGGTGATGCTTTTCTCTGGAAAAGGTGCCCCGTTTGCACAGGGATTAAGCCTCATGGCCTGTGTACAGGCTCTCGTGAAATGGGCATGTGGCGTTTAAAGTGAAGACACATTAACACGTGGGGGGATGGATGATGGCTTGACACTTTCACTTCAAGGCTGAGAGGACTTAATAGGGTTGTGATCTATCTCTAATTGCAGTGCATGGTGGGAAGTGCCTGTGAACTTGGGAACCACTGGAGACACTGATTCTTCACAGAGATAAAGCCTGAACTGCGATGGTACACAAACAGGCCTCCCCTCCCGACAAAGGATGGGAGGGATTTCAAGAAACATGAGAAAGATATAGGGCTCAATCACATGGCTCCCATCAGGCCCCATCAAATGCAGGACCAGCCCATTTCCAGGCACCTGCGCTAGGTGTGGTTCTGAGGTGAGAGGTTTCCTGGTCTGTGTATAAATTCAAAAGGAGAGTTAGGAAGTCCAGTTTGTGATGAGGATACTGATGGCGCCACTCTGTTCCACCCTTCTGATTTATAAAAGGAGACCGTTACCAGAAAGAGGCACAGAGACGTTCACTAATTTTATCAGGAGCTTCACAGTAACGTCTGAGGAGACTTGGGTACAAGGGACTCACTGCTCTGAAACAGTGGAAGTGTGCTTTCACTGGTGGGAGGCTTCTATTCCAGGGCTGATGCCCTGGGTCCACATGTAGGACTGTGCTTCCAACCAGATATTCCTGAACTCACTTGGCATTCCTGAATAGGCATTTCTCCTTCCTCCTTAGTTCAACACCACAGACAGCGAAGGAGGGACCAGGGACTGATGCAGGACAGGGGAACTAAATGGGTGTCCCGAACAGACAGGGGGCTGTTTACATATGATGAATCTCCTGGCTTCGTTGGGTCCAAAAGGACAATGACTTTGTGAGTTTTGTGCTATGATCTTAGTCCAATTATAGGGGTAATATATTCCCTGTAATCAGACAAAAAAGGTTGCCAGGACAAAAGCATTGTCACATTCAGGTATTTCTAAATCCAGGGCAGAATGTTCTAGCTCATTGCAGGTGACTTTGGACTCTGGTGTGCAGTCAATCCTGGGGTCCAGGAGGAACATGGACAAATGAGACCTCTGCTCCCAGGAGGAGGGGCTGGACAGAGGAGAGCACCTGATTCCATTCCATCCTTGACTCTTTTTAGCAAGCAGCAGACAGTGGAGATTTCTGTGACTGGTGGGGCAGGGGGCTGGATGAGTGGGAGATCCAGTCTGGCCACACTGACCACGTTCACCATCACAGGGCTGTTTCTCGGCAGCCTGGTCAGAGAGTGAGAATGGATTTCTCACCATCCAGAGCCAGCCCGAGATAGCAGTGGCTTGATGGGTCATCTTGCAGCCACCCTTGCCAATGTGGGTGGCATTTCTCTAACATTTCCCCAAAGAATGCCAGCCTCCAGAGCCATTCTCACACTGCCACCTGCAGTCCTCAATGCCAAGTGACACAGAACTATCTCCAATGTTGAGAGTTGTCAGCAGCAGCTACTCTAGGGTGGACACTCCATGATGCCACAAGGTCAGGGGTTTGGGTCTGAGTTTGGGCAAGTCCTGCTCTCAACCTGGGTCTCGTAAGTCATGCACTGGGAGAGACAGCGGGTGGACACTCTACCAGCTTTGTCGCCGAAGGGTGGGGAGGCCAGAGGGCTGGGAAGGCAGAGGGACCACAAAGGAACCACAGAAGTATGGTGGACACAGCTCCTGGCCAGGCCTGGGTCGCCCTGACCTCCAGTCCACATTCAGCCCTGCCAATTCCCACCCTTCTTTGTTCATTGTGTTCCCACCATGCTTGTCGCAGTGTGATCCTGCCTCAGACTTTGCCTGCATTACCTGTCCTCCCACTTTTCCTGTCTGATTCCTCCCCATCCTCAGGTTCCAGCAGCTTAGCTGTCATTTCCCCAGAGAACTCTCTCCCCCAGGAGACGCCCTGGTATCCTCCTTTGCAGCACCCTGGTCTTTTCTTTTACAGCTCACATCACAACTTGTACATATTTATTGATGGGTGTACTTTATTTGAAGGAGCTCTGGTGGTATAGTGCCTCAGGTGTTTGACTGCTAACCAGAAGGTTGGTGGTTCAAATCCACCAGCTGCTCCACAGAAGGAAGATGGGGCAATCTGTTTCTGTAAAGATTTACCACCTCAGAAACCCAATGGGGTCGCTCTGAGTCAGCATGCACTCGATGACAGCAAGTTTGGCTTGTTTGGGTAGTTTGTTTCATGTCTCTTTTAATCACATCCTACAGCTAGTGACACCAAATCCACCTGCAAATGATACCTGGGCCCTGCCTGCCTCTCGGGAGGCTGCTCCATGTTGAGCATCACTGCACCGCCCAGCAGTGTCCTCCTGCTCCTGCCCTGTCCCCTCCCACCTGTTCCCCACTCAGCCGCAGGTTAACCCCTTCCCTCCACAACCACCGGCCATGCTGAGAAATAGGGTGAGGGCATCCCTGCCTTTAGGGGGGCCAGCCACACAGTGACCGTCCAAGAGGCCATGCTAGACTAGTCCAATAGACCAGCAAGCCAAACATGCCTTCAGGGGAGTGTGTCAGTGCAGACCGTCCTCTGACAGGTCCTACCTGCCCAAGACCCCGCGAGACCTCTGCCTGAAATGCAGCCAGGAGCCTCACAGCTGACTATTCTTGTTTTCAGGCCC